CCCTCCTCCAGGATGGCTTTCCTTTTCAGATCCTTCATCTATATCAGTGTTGCCCAAACTTTTGACATATGTGTACCCCTTCTATAATTTTCGTAACGCTGAGTACCCCTCGTACTCATGAGAACATAGAATTAGGCGCAGCTAAGCACGGTGCAGTGCATATCCCCACCAAACTCCGGTGCAACGTGTACCCCCACCAGACTCTTCCCGTACCCCTGGGGGTCTGCGTACCACACTTTGGGAAACACTGATCTATATGAACACCTTTTGCCCCAACCTGGGCTTCTGTTTTCATCTCGGCCCCTGGCTTGGGACCTTACAGAGCTGTTGTGTCTTCCCTCTTCCTGCAGATGACAGCCGTCTAGAGGAGCTCAAGGCCACACTGCCCAGTCCAGAAAAGCTCCCCGGGTTCAAGATGTACCCCATTGACTTTGAGAAGGTGCTGTGTGGGGACCCTGGGCGGGCAAGGGGGTGGGTGAGCACCGGTGGCTGGGCAGGACAGATCTCTGGGGCTCTGGAGGCGGCCCCGGACCTTTGTAGGATTGGATCACAGGCTTTCCATGCGGCCCTGAACAAATAAGTGTTCCCAGCCCGGCCTCTGTGATCCGACAGCAGGTAATCGCAGTGTCCCCCAAAGCCAGGGACATCCTCTTCCCCTTCTGATCCTTATTCTCTCTCTATACCCCCTCCCCCATAAAAGGATGACGACACCAACTTCCACATCGATTTCATTGTGGCTGCGTCCAACCTCCGGGCAGAGAACTACGACATTCCCGCTGCCGACCGGCACAAGGTGAGGGGGCCCGGACCTGCGGGACCACCCCTCCCAGGCGTGCGCTCGCCCACCGCCTCCTCCTCAACTGTCACCTTCCTGGGTGTCTCCTGCCTCACAGAGCAAGCTGATCGCAGGGAAAATCATCCCGGCTATCGCCACGACCACGGCAGCTGTGGTTGGCCTCGTGTGCCTGGAGCTGTACAAGGTGGTTCAGGGGCACCGGAAGCTGGACTCCTATAAGAATGGCTTCCTCAACCTAGCCCTGCCCTTCTTCGCCTTCTCTGAGCCCCTGCCCGCACCCCGTCACCAGGTGAGGGCCTGCGCCAGGAGGTGGGCTTGTGCGTGGGGTGTTTCTCTCTAGAGCTGGCTCTAGTGTGCTTCACAGGCTTTGCCAGCTGGGGGTTTCTGTCATGATGTAGCTGCTCCGTTTGTGGGCCCCTTGTTTATTCACTCATATATATGTTTTCAAATATATCTTATTGATTTTTACAGAGAGAAAGGGAGAGTGTGATAGAGAGCTAGAAACATCGACCAGCTGCCTCTTGCACGCCCCCTACCGGGAATGTGCCCGCAACCTATGTACATGTGCTTGACCGGAATCGAACCTGGGACCCTTCAGTCCCCAGATCGATGCTCTATCCACTGAGCCAAACCGGTTTTGGCTCTTCACTCATATTTTTGAGTGCATTCTATGTGCTAAGCACTGGTCTTATTCTGCCTGTGGGAGCCCTCAGAAAAGATGGGACATTTGATAGAAGCTTGTTAATAACTTGACAATAAGAGCAACAAGCACTTATTAGGGGCTTACTATGCTAAGTCCTTTTACTTCGCTTATTAATTCACTTAAGTATTTCTTGAGCACCCCCCCCCCCCAAAAAAAAAGAAAGAAAGAAAGAAAAAAAGAGCAGGCTAAGGAAGTTAGAGCACCGGGTGGTGAGGGATTTTAAACGTGAGAGGGCCACGGAAGACCTTGCTGAAATGCTCGAAGTTTGGGTTCAGACTTGAAGGAGGTGAAGAGACCGACCATGCAGCTTTGGGGAGGAGGGCACTTCAGGCAGAGGGACCAATCTGCAGGGGCAGCGGCGTGCCCGCCTGGCATGTTTGACAAAGAAGTGGCTAGGGCACAGTGAGTGAGCAAGGAGGCCACAGAGAGGACTGCAATGACGGAGGGCCTTGGCAATTACCGTGTGGTTCCGGTGCTTAGGGTGAGGCGGAAGCCACTAGAGAGCTTTGGACAGAAGAGGCTTATGATCTTGCTTAGCTGTCTCCGCATGAGTGGAGTGGGGAGAGGGATGGGGCTGGGCCCCCGTAACCCCGGTCTGCTTCTCGCCCCCCAGTACTATACCCGAGAGTGGACGTTGTGGGATCGCTTTGAGGTGCAGGGGCTGCAGCCTAACGGCGAGGAGATGACCCTCAAGCAGTTCCTTGACTACTTTAAGGTGAGACCCCTCTCTCCGTGTTCACCCCACATGGAGGCCAAGTGTGCCTGCGACTGGTCTGCCCCCCGTTGTGACACGCCCGCCCCCCCCTCCCTCCAGAGCGAGCATAAACTGGAGATCACCATGCTGTCCCAGGGCGTGTCTATGCTCTATTCCTTCTTCATGCCAGCTGCCAAGCTCAAGGAACGGTTGGATCAACCGTGAGTTTGGGTGGCAGAGCCTCAGCCTGCAGCTAATCCCACTCCTGCTCACCACCCTTCAGCTCCTGCATACCCCCCCCCCCGCCCGCCTGCCCGCCCCCTTCCTCCCTCTCCCTTCTGCCTCCCTGACACTCTCCCTCCGCCCGCCCCCAGGATGACAGAGATCGTAAGCCGTGTGTCGAAGCGAAAGCTGGGCCGCCATGTGCGGGCACTGGTGCTTGAGCTGTGCTGCAACGACGAGAGCGGCGAGGATGTCGAGGTCCCCTACGTGCGATACACCATTCGCTGACCCCAAGCCCCTTCTCCGGAGCCCTTCCTGCCCGGGGCTCCCATCTGACTCATGGCAGTGGCCCAGCTAGCCAAGCCTGGCATTCCCTCCTCGTCCCCCTGCCCGATCCCTCCTGCCACTGCTTCCTACCTTGTTCAGAACCTTGAATCCTAATAAACAGTTATTAACTCAGACATGGCCTTCCCTGCTGGTTCCAGGGAAGGAAAGGACTTCCTGGAGCTGTCTGGAAGTACAGACGGTAACCCTAAAAGCTCCCCCTACCCCCACCCCACCCCCAGCTACCTATTTTCTGGGCAGAGAAAATGTGGGAATCGCCACCATCTTCCTCCTTCCCTCCCTGCTTAGGAAGAAGCGGAGGCACCGGTGAGGCCATAGAGAGCAGGTACCTGAGTCCATTTTATGGGAGCTGGATTCCAATTCTGCCTTCTCCGTCTCCTGACACCCTGCCATGCCGTGTCAATGTCAGGTCAACAGGGCTTAGGGGTGTTTGACTGAGGACACCTGTAGAGGGAAGGACCCTTTCCTGCCCGTCCTTCCTGTCCCTTTCCCCTGCCCCCCCGCCCCCCAGTCTGTCTCACCGAGGCCTCTTACCTTTGAAAAGAGTCAGCTGGGGGTGGCCTTTGGTTAGAGGAGGGAACAGAAGGCTCACCCCGGGCCCCAGCAGGACTGCGTACTCTGTCTGCCCGTGGTCTTGGCTGAACACTCCAGACAGTCGAAAGCACCAGCGTGGCCTCTTTGTGCCCAAGGATGCCACTCACACCTCTGTCCCTCACCCGCCACTCCTCCCCCCTTCACTCGGTTCTGGATATTGGGAGTAGCACAGCCTGGAATGACGGGGCTTCAGGCAGGCCTTTTTAGAGAGGGTAGTCAGGGCAGGTTTCACGAAGGTGACATGGTAGCCAGGACTTGGAAAAGGTGTGGGGATGCGGCCCTGATATCTGAGGGAGGAGCACTCCAAACAAAGAGAACTGCGGCAAGTGCAAAGTCCCAGAGGCTTCCCTCGGGAACAGCTAGGAGGCTAGTATGGCTGGAGCCGAGCGAGAGGAAGCAGGGTAGGAGATGGGGTTGGTTAAGTCATGGGTCTGATTAGCTCACAGAAGACTTGTCAAGTACAGTGTCTCCTCAGGGTCGCCTAGTATAACCCTCACTGAGTAACTGGTGTGAGCAAGGCTGTCACAAAGGGCAGCCCAGGACAGGCGGCGGCGCTGGCTGTGGGCTGAGTCGCAGAGTATGTCAGCACTTCTCTATGCCCCGGAACACCTGAAGGTTGCTGCCCGTGAGTTGGACCTGGTGGGCAGTTTTACAGGCAGAGGGGGGAGGGATTAGGTCTGTCGGGCAATGCTTTGACACCACAGGCACCCAGTAAGTAAAAAAACAAAACCACAGAGGCAGGAGAGTCAAGGGCAGGGTTCTGGCGGGCGAAAGATAGTTGAGAGGTGGCAGGAAACACCAATTCTGGGAGCAAACTTGCCGAAAAGAAACCCGGCTTTAGCCCAAAGTCGCAAGCATGCGCAGTATTGCACTGCTTAAAGATCCGCCTTCCTTAGCCGAGGCTCCACCCCGTGAACCTGGCTGGGAAAGAGGGTGGAGGGAGGGTTGGGGGCGGGACAGAAGGTGATTGAACATTCTTTTGACCAATCAGCTGCCGGATATTTGGCCAATGATGAAAGGAGCTCGGAACAAAAAGGAGGGCCCGCCTCCCGGCCATGAAAACCAGGCAGAGGTGTGGTAGGCAGCGAAGCCACGCCCTTCATTCTTGCACAGCCTCACCCCAGGGAGCAAAGCCGATTGGCTGGCGACTGCTCCGAAGGCGGGGCCGCGCCCGTCACAGGGGGAATAAGCTAGCGGTGTGGCGGTGGGGGCGAGCGGGAGGGAGGGGGGGCAGCCCGGCTGGCAAAGGCCAGCGATTCCCCGGGCAGCCTTCCCCAGAAAAGTGATCTCGCGAACCTTTAAGATCCCCGCCTCCCAGGGCACCCGCGGGGACTAAGACGGCCCCCTCCTCTCTCTCCTCCTTGCCAAAGTCCATTTGCTCTCACTGGGATGTACCAAGTGAGAAGGAGCGGGGGGAGCCAGTGGTGACCGGTCCGCCGGTCACCGGCTGCCGCCCGCTCGCTAGCAGTCTCCTAGCTAGACCGTAACCGGGTACCAAGCAGCCACCCCCGTGCCCCCTGGCGCCGTTCCAGGGCTGGCGCCACATCCCCCAGTGGGCGCGCCATGGCCGCGCCGCCTCCCGCGGCGGGCGGCGCTGTGGAACGTGCCGGCCGAGGTGAGTCCCCTCCCGCGGCGCCCCGGCCAGCGCGTGCGTGCGCATGCGCGGAGCGGCGCGCGCGGTAGTTGGGTCGCAGGCAGCCCGGCCCCGGGAGCCCCCGCTTCCCCGCGAGCAGCGGGCCCCGAGCCGCGAGCCGCCGTGAGCTCTCGGATTCTCAGCGGCGCCGACGACCCCGGGGGCCTCGCCCGCAGCGGCCGAGCTCATGGCCGGCTGAGCGGGACGCCGCCGCCGCCCCAGCCACCGCCGCCGCCGCCGCCTCCTCCTCCTCAGCCGGCGGCGGCCCGGGCCCAGCAGCCATGGCCGAAGACTACTGGGACGGGCGCCTGCGGCGAACCGGAGGAGGAGAAGGAGGTCGCGCGGCCTCAGCGCGGGCCGCGCCCAGGCGCCTCCGCGCCGGCCCCGCGGCGCTGAGGTTGCTCGCGCGCCCCCGCCGGTGAGCGCGTCACCGAGACGGGGGGTGGGGGTGGGGGTGGGGGCTGCCCTTTCTTCCACGAAACCCACCGGACCCCAGGCGGTGCCCGGGGGTCTGGGCTGCCCTGCCCGCACGGGCCTCCGCCCCGCGGCGAATCGCCCAGAATGCACCAGGGCAGGGGGTCATTCAGGGCCTCCCTGACCTTGGCCCCGCCCTGGGCCCGGTGTGGGAGCTGGGGGGTGGGAAGCTGCTGATGGGGAGGGGGGCGATCGAAGGACCAGAGGGCGCTGAAATGGGTGGCAGGGTGGTGAAGGAGCCAAGGTTGGCCAAGGCGGGGCCTGAGCCGTGGAGCGATCGCAGATGTGTCAGGTATGGGGTCCAGGGTGTGCTAGCGGGGGGTGGAGGGACCCACGCGTGGGTAACAGGCGAGTGGAAGTCGGAGAAGTGCTGACACACAAACGGGGTCCTAGCTGTGTGACGGGGTACAAGGTGGGAGAGGGAGGAGGTGTGCCAATAGGATCAGGGTTCGAGGTCAGGATGGTGGGCTTAACGATGGACTTGCCCATGAGGACTGCAGCGTGGGAGGTGCCCAAACGTGCTCCTGGAGGGCAGCCCAGTGGGAGAACTGGGGTGCTGAGCCTTGCTGAGGGGGCCATGGCCGCAGGGGGCATGTGGGTGAGGTAATGGAAGTCTGGGCAGCGTGGGGCCCGGTCTGTGCTGCTGGGGGCAGAGGGCGGGAGGCTGGGCCCGTGGCTGGCAGTTGGGGTGCGGGGCGTTGAGCCGTGTAAGAGGCTCAGTGTGCTCCGGATCAGGATGGTGTGAGGTCGGCGTGTGCCCATGGGGCCAGGGTGCGCTCGGAGGAGGCGGGTGACAGACGAAGTTGGAGAGACTGCTGATGTGGCTTTAGCCTCGGAGGCCCTCACTGTGTGCCAGTGGGGGGAGGGCCAGCTGCATGCGAGCTGGCCTATGCTAATGAGAGGCCGGCACTGCGAAGACAGTGTGCTCTTGTGTCCATGAAGCCCGGGCCGTGCGGAGGCCCGGGGAGCGCTAATGAGGGGGAGAGCTGAGGGTTTCCAGTGTCCGAGGAGGAGGCTCGGGGCCGGGAAGGGATCCCGGTGGGAATCAGCCAGACCCAGAGCGGTGCAGGAGCTGAAGGAAGAGAAATAAGGAACAGGGCCATGTGAATGCCTCGGTGTGCTAACGTGGATCGGAGCCATGGATGGCTGAAGTGTGTGCTGGGGGCGGAGGGGGGGGGTTCGGGCAGAACGAAGACCTGTGTGCACTGATGAGGGTCAGGCCGTTATATAACAGCGTGTGCCCCTGAGATAGGCCCGAGGAGGGTCAGGGTTGTAACAGCGTGTTCGCCCCTGGAGATAGGGCTGGGGAAAGGTTCAGGGAGAGAACACTGTGCTTGACCTGCAGATAGGGCGGAGGAAGAGTTCATGGTGTGCCCCTGGGAGGCGCCGTGGGAGGCCCGGCGTGTTCTGATGGAGGTCAGGGTGAAGTGAAGGTCTAGCCTGTGCCGGTGGGAGGCGGCGGAGACAGGACAGGGGGAAGACCAGAACGTGCGGCGATGACAGTCACATCTGCGGAGGGGTCTGAGCTCGGACGCACACAGGTCAGGGGTCTGCGAGGCTCGCTTTGTGGTCACGGGATGTAGGGCAGAGTGGAAATCCGGTGAACGCCAATGTGGGTCAGCCGCCCAGGGTCCCAGGTGCGTGTAATGGGGGTCAGAGTCACGGAGGGGGAGCAGTGAGTTAACGGGTGAGGGCTGAGGAGCAGCTAGCAGGCAGCTGGGCCTGGGAGGGACCCAAGAATGTGGTAGGAGTGAACTTGGAAGGTTCTGGGCTCCGCTGGGGCTTTGTGAGCTGGCGGCCGTTGGAGATAAAGGGTAATTGCAGGTGCTGATAGCAGTTAAGACGCAGGGGGCCTTCTCAGAGGTCCAGTGTGTGCTGAGAGGAGGAGGACATGGAGGGCCCGGTGTGTGCTCATGGGAGTCCGGGCAGGATGCGGATGGTGCGATCCTATGGGACTCAGTAGTGTGTGACGGCTGTGTCCCCAGTGGTTCGGGGTAGTGCGAGGAGGTAAGTAGTGGGTATTATGAGAGGATTCAAGTTCATATGTTCAGGTGTCTCTGCTCACAGGGTCCCACCCAGAGGGTGCTGCACGATACAAAGATTTTGTACCCCATCTTCCCAAACTCCCCCTAAAACTGAGCCCTGGCACCTGTCCAGCCCTTGGAGTTTCCAGTTAGAGGTCATGGACCTATAGCTCCTCCAGCTCCCTCCTCAGTGTCCATCCCCCCTACTTCTAATCCTCCCCCACCCCGCCCGCTCCTCCATCCCCCGCCACGGCAGACCAGCGGCCTGGGGTCTGTGCCATGCAGACACAGGACAGTCTTCGGAGCTGCCTCCATCTCAGGTCCAGGGTTGAGCCTCCTGGGCCAGGGTTTGGTAGGTGTCCTGGGTTCTCGGATGGAGCTCATCCTCTTCATGGCGGGCTTTCTACCAGGCTGGCCCCCCCGCCCCTCCTGAGGGAGGTGGAGGCAGGCAGGCAGAGGCAGGGAGTGGGGACCGCTGGAGCAATACCTGATTTCAAGGTAACAGATGACCCACTTCTCTCGGATCCAGGCCCAGCCTCATCCTCGCCCTCCTATGTAGCTTCACTTCCCTTGGGCCCACAGCCATCGTGGGCCCGGCTGTGCGTCCAGATGGTTCCTGGGCCAGGTCTTTCCCCCTCCTACTGGCCCAGAGCCCAGGTGGAAGCAGAAGGAGGCCAGCCTAAGCCTTTTGGTGGCCCTGTTCCCTCCAGCCGCCCCATCTAGGTACGTAGGTCATCTTCCTGCCGATGCCGCCTCGTCTGGGGTTCGTGAGCAGCAGGGACACCTCAGCCCCCTGATGCCATTCGTTCCTGCCATGAGCACTCTGTGAGCATCTGCGCTGTCAGTCACCCTTCCAGGTCCTCAGGATATAGCTGTGACCTAAGCAGACAGAAGTTACTCTGGCGGAGCTGATTGTCTAGTTACGGCGGTGAGGAGACAGACAGTAAAGCAAACTAACAAGTAGATGGTGTCATTTCTGAGGAGGTGATGAATTCTGGGGGGTCACTGACAAGGTGAAGGGAGCTCAGGATGGCTGAGATTTTAAATAGGCTCAGAGGTCAGGGTTCGATCCCCAGTTAGGGGGCGTGCAGGAGACAGCCAGTCAGTGATTCTCTCTCATTGATGTTTCTCTCCCACTCCTTTCCTCTCTGAAATAAAAAATATATATATATTTTTAATTAAAAAATAAATAGGGCTATTTGTTGAGGATTACCCATATTTGAGCAGTGGCCTGAAGGGAGTGAGGGAGTGAACTGTCTTAGAAATCTGGGGAAAGGGTATTTCCGGTACCGGGAACAGCCAGTGCAAAGGTTTTGAGGCGAGGCTGCTGGGTGTGGCTGCAGAACAGCAGCCACCGTGACTGGGGCCAGGTGAGGCCAGAGGTAATAGGGGTGAAGGGGTCAGACCATATGGGCCACATGGAGGACTGGACCATTTATTGGGGGGGGAATAAGGGAGAGGTGGTACATTCTCAAGTTCACGGGAAATGTGACCTGGCTTCTAAAAACCTGGGTGAGACCCTGTGAATCCCAACCTGATTGAACCTTTCCAGCAGCCATCGGTAGCTTGGACTCATTGAGATCCCCCCCTTGTGGTTGTGTCTGGGCCGGGCCCTCCTCCCCTTACACCCCTCACTTGGGTTGGTCAATGGCATAGCCTACTAGTCACCATGACAATGGTTGCTAAGGGAGGTTAGAGGTCCTTGTAGCCATACAGAGCAGTCTGCCTTAACAGTTGGGAGTGATGCTGGATTGGTGCCGGCGGAAAATGCCATTCTACGGGCGTGCCCAGGGTTATGTCAGTTGTTCTGAGGTCCTGGGTGATTCCCCCTCCCCACCCACGGCTAGGTTCACCACTGCCGCTGCACCCAAGGATACCTGCTGCTCCCACAGCGGGGCTGCCCCCATAGAAACCAACATCCCATCGGTTGGACCCTTGCCCTCAGACAGCCACCCAAGACTCGATGCTCAGGTGGGCTATTTAGGAGCAGGCCCCCAGGGGCTGGCCGTCCAGGCCAGGTCTCCAGAAATCCTGAGTGTTCCAGGACTCTTCGGTGGTTGGGTGGGCACTGACAGAAGTTCATGTCAGTGTGCCCCGTTAGGCTGTCATGGGCTTTAGGGACCCATGGTCAGGCAGATGCTAACATGGGTCCCATTCCCCCCCATGCGCGCCCCCCCCCCCAGGTCGCCATGGATCGGATGAAGAAGATCAAACGGCAGCTGTCGATGACACTCCGAGGGGGCCGAAGTGTAGACAAGACCAACAGTGCCCCTGAACAGATCGGCCTGGACGAGAGTGGCGGTGGAGGTAGCAGTGACCTTGGCGAGGCCCCCACCCGCGCTGCCCCAGGGGAACCTTGTTCCGGGCGGGGACTGCTCAGCTCTGCGCCAGGTGGGTCTACTGCCCACTCCTTCCCCTAGACTGGTGCCCAGGTGCTGCTTTCCGGCCAAACTCCTCGTAGACCTGCGTTCTTTTAATTTCCATTTCTCCACTTTTCCCCTTCCCTGCCATCCTCTCTATCTGTGCCCCTTTTGTTGGCTTGCTGCCCAGGCCTTGTCCCAGCTCCCCGAAGCCTCCTTTCACGCTTCTACACTCTGCCAGTACCCTCAGGCCCCCTGGCACCGGCCTGCCCTGGGTCTTTGGCTGCCTCTGCCTGCCCCTAGCCCCAGGCTAGCCACAGTCTCAGCTCGCCCCTGGAGCCTGGTGTTCCACACTAGGTGACTGTTCCCCTGCCCCATTCAACCTTCCTGTCCTGTCTGAGCCTCCGTAGGCCTTGCCACCCTCTCCCCAAGGGACCCGGGCTGCTCTGGGGGCCATACGCACACCTGTGTGATGAGTGGATGTTGTTGGAAAGAGGGTGTCCCAGGGCTCCTGATTCCACCTGGCCTGCCCTCCCCCTGTTGCCTCCACCAGAGATTGTGCACGAGGACTTGAAGATGGGGTCTGACTTGAAGATGGGGTCTGATGGGGAAAGCGACCAGGCTTCAGCCACATCCTCAGATGAGGTGCAGTCACCAGTGAGGGTGCGCATGCGCAACCATCCTCCTCGCAAGATCTCCACTGAGGTGCTTAACCCTCCTGTCGGGGGTGGGGGGCTGGGAAAGAGGGTTGGACCTGAATGGTGGAGCTCATGCTCCTGTTTCTCCCCTCTCTCTCCTGCTAGGACATCAACAAGCGCCTCTCACTTCCAGCGGACATCCGGCTGCCCGAGGGCTACCTTGAGAAGCTGACCCTCAATAGCCCCATCTTTGACAAACCCCTCAGCCGCCGCCTCCGCCGTGTCAGCTTGGTGAGGATCTGCAATTCCTGTCCTCTTCCTCTTTCCCTACCTCCTCTCCCCCCTATACCCTTCCCTGAGCCTGCCTCAACCTACGTCCTTCACTCCGCAGTCTGAGATCGGTTTTGGGAAACTGGAGACCTACATCAAGCTGGACAAGCTGGGAGAGGTGAGGGACAGCCAGGAGGCCCATGATGGGGGTGCGGATCAGTGGGAACTTCCTGTGGCCTCCAGTTCCTCTCCTCTAACTGCTCCTCTCTCCCCAGGGCACCTATGCCACCGTTTACAAAGGCAAAAGCAAGCTCACAGACAACCTCGTGGCACTCAAGGAGATCAGACTGGAGCACGAAGAGGGCGCGCCCTGCACCGCCATCCGAGAAGGTACCGCCATCCGGGAAGATCTGCCCCATAATGAGCCTGGGGGTTCTCATACTTCCCCCCCTGAAACTCGGGGCTTCATCAGAAAGTGCCCATCACATCTAGGGAGTAATCAAGATAACCAGGAATCGTCCTGTTTGGAAAAGAATTGGAAAGCAAGGTTCTTGCTTTGGTTCCGAGGACATCCCTGATGCAGTAGCCAGTCAGAACATCATGTGCCACGATTCGAATTGCATCAAAATTGAACGTGCAAACTCTGTTTCATATGAAGCTACAGGCCTGAGGGTTGGAGCAAGGCCCAGTTTCGGAACCCACCCATGGGTTTAGGAAATGCAGTGTCGCATAATCCTGGGGCTGCAGTCCCATGTTCTTGTTCCCTACTCTTCTCTCTGAGCCTGAGTTGCCACATCTGGAACATGGGGACATACCTTTGGCATGGGGGGGGAGGGGGGGCGCCTAGAGCTGGTGGCTGCGAGTCACCACTCCAAACTGCACAGGGAAAGCAGGAAGCCCTGCCTAGTCCTTGTCATTACCCTGAGGGCGGGCCTTGACTTCTCCCGTCCCACCCGTGTCTCCCGCAGTGTCCCTGCTTAAGGACCTCAAACATGCCAACATCGTCACGCTCCATGACATTATCCACACAGAGAAGTCCCTCACCCTTGTCTTCGAGTACCTGGTAAGGTTGGGGGGCAGGGAGCCCCGGGGGGCAGGGGGGTGATGGCCAGACAGGATGTGACCCTCTTTCCTGTCCTCTATCTTCTCTCTGGAGGACAAGGACCTGAAGCAGTACCTGGATGACTGTGGGAACATCATCAACATGCACAACGTGAAAGTGGGTGTGGGTGTGGGGCAGGAGGCGGGGCCCAGGCCACTCACCCCGTCCAGCCCGCACACCTCCTAGGAAAGGCGTCCCCTTTGGCTTCCTCGCTGGGAGCCGCTGCAGGGCCCTGTCCTCTTTTGTGAGACTAGGCTCTGGGCCCAGCGTCCGTGTCTGGGAGGGGGGCAGTGCCTGTCGGGAGTCGGGGTGCTGGCTACTCTGACCTCTGCCTGCCTTTCCTGGGTCCCCAGCTGTTCCTGTTCCAGCTGCTCCGCGGCCTGGCCTACTGCCACCGGCAGAAGGTGCTACACCGAGACCTCAAGCCCCAGAACTTACTCATCAACGAGAGAGGAGAGCTCAAACTGGCTGATTTTGGTACCCTCGGCCTGCCCTGCCCAGAGATCCCCCAGCCTTACTCTCCCAGCCTCCCCCTTCCCCATGACCCCCTCCTCCCAGTCCCCAGCCTTCCTCTCCCAGCCCCCCCCCTTCCCCACTACCCCTTCTTCTCAGTCCCCGGCCTTCCTCTCCCAGCCCCCCCTTCCCCAGTACCTCCTCCTCTCAGTCCCCGGCCTTCCTCTCCCAGACTCCCTTCCCCAGTACCCCCTCCTCCCAGTCCCCCAGCCTTCCTCTCCCAGTCCCCCCTCCTCCCAGTCCCCCAGCCTCACTCTCCCAGCCCCCCCTTCCCCAGTACCTCCTCCTCTCAGTCCCCGGCCTTCCTCTCCCAGCTCCCCCCCCCCCATTCCCCATGACCCCCTTCTCCCAGTCCCCAGCCTTCCTCTCCCAGCCCCCCCTTCCCCAGTACCCCCTCCTCTCAGTCCCCCAGCCTTCCTTTCCCAGCCCCCCCTTCCCCAGTACCCCCTCCTCTCAGTCCCTGGCCTGCTCAGGACCACCTCCATCCCAGCTGCCCCTTCTCGCCACCTCCCAGGTCTGGCCCGGGCCAAGTCAATTCCAACGAAGACCTACTCCAACGAGGTGGTGACCCTGTGGTACCGGCCCCCCGACATCCTGCTCGGGTCCACAGACTACTCCACCCAGATTGACATGTGGTGAGGACAAGTGGCAGCGTGGCAGGGGCCATGCGGCGAAGGGGGTGGCTCGGTCACAGTGGCCAACCAGTCAGCTGCCTCCCCATTGATTCCCTGTGCCCTCCCTGCCAGGGGCGTGGGCTGCATATTCTACGAGATGGCCACAGGCCGCCCCCTCTTCCCAGGCTCCACCGTGGAGGAGCAGCTGCACTTCATCTTCCGCATCTTGGGTGAGGAGAGGGAGCCCTCCGAGGGGGACAGGCGGGAGGGAGGCCCTCTGATGCTTAGGGTAGTGCCTCTTCCCTCCAGGAACTCCAACCGAGGAGACCTGGCCGGGCATCCAATCCAATGAAGAGTTCAAGACACACAACTACCCCAAGTACCGTGCCGAGGCCCTTCTGAGCCATGCGCCACGGTGAGGCTGGTGCGGGGGGGTCGGGGGTGTGAGGGCCAGAGTGCCCAAACTCAATTTAAAGCAGGTGCCCTTGTCCTTGTGGTAGACTTGATAGCGATGGGGCTGATCTCCTCACCAAGCTGCTGCAGGTGAGACCACTTCCTGAGTCAGCCTGGGGGCGGGGCCGTGGGGAAACGGGGGCTCCGGGTGGGGAGGAAGAGCGGCTTACTCTGCGAAAGTGTCAACACAACACCCCCCCCCCCCAGTTTGAAGGTCGCAATCGGATCTCTGCAGACGATGCCATGAAACACCCATTCTTCCTCAGTCTGGGGGAGCGAATCCACAAACTTCCTGACAGTGAGTGGAGCGGGGTGGGGGGGGGGGTGGGGAAGGGCTGTGGGAAACAAGACTGCTGGAGACAGCCGAGCAGGTGGGGTAGGACTCCGCTCCGCCACCTCTAAAGGGCACACACTTGTTCACGTGTGTGTTTTTAGAGTAAACATTTCCTTGTAAAGTATGTACTGAGAAATGCACAGGTCATAAGTATGCAGCACAGTGAGTTTTCACAACACACACGTGACACAGGCATACGGCCAGAAAACAGGATGTGCGAATCTCCCCCAACGCGCCCCAGGTTCCTGCAGCCCCTCCCCAAGGGTTACCCCTAGATGGATTCTAACAGCTTCGATACATTTCCCCTGTCCTTGTACTCTGCAGAAATGGAAGCATATTAAAAAGTAAAAAGAGAACATCTGACTTTTTAAAACTTTTTAATATGGGCGTTTTTAACTAGATATGTTCATGTATTAGACCAAATACTAATATGAGTCAGTCCCCAAGTTCTCCATCAGCTCATCAGCTCGTGAATCTGGCCTAACCTCTATTCCCTCTGATTATCTTGAATCAAATCCCAGACATATTATTCACCTATAAGTGATTTCAGCATGTATCAAATCTTTTTTTAAACATAGTGTCATTGCACCTAAAAAAAAACTTGGCCCACTTTGTATATCTCCCCATTGGACTAATCCAAATCAAATCAACCATTCAGTCACCTAGAGTTAAGTGATAATTACAGTACCATTATTACACTTGAAAAATTAATAGTAAGAAATTAATGCTTTCTTGGTGCCATGTCATAGTTCATATTCCATTTTTCCTAATTGTAGCTAGATTTTGGGTGGGATTATTCCACAGATGGAAGTCAAGCCTCTCAGAGAAAAGGCAGCTTTTTCTAATTCCCCCAGTGGGGCCTCAGGGGAGGTGGCTCTGGGTGACCCCAGGGTCATTTTCTGCTTCTGTCTCCACTCCCCCCACAGCTACTTCCATATTTGCACTAAAGGAGATCCAGCTACAAAAGGAGGCCAACCTTCGCTCTTCGTCGATGCCTGACTCAGGTAGGTGTGGCCCTCGCCCTCTTCCCCGCCCCATCCATCCACCTGCTTGTTCACCGACAGCCATCCGCTCTGCTTCCGCCCGCAGGCAGGCCAGCTTTCCGTGTGGTGGACACCGAGTTCTAAGCCACAGACCCAGGCCCCAGCAGGCAGCAGCTGGAGGGATGCCACACCCCTCCCAGGGCAGCCCCCAACTGCATCCTCCCTGCTTGCTGCCTGCCCACCTGCCTGATCATGCTCGCCTGCCCACGTGTCCCCTGCTACCTGTCCAAACATCCATTGGCCTGTCTGCTGGGTGCTAACAAAGCTCTCATCGCTCCTTCACCTGGTCTGTCTGTCTCTCTCTCTCTGTCTCAGTAGTAGCCGGCGGACAGCATGGCCGCGCCAGCCTCCCACACTGAGGCCAGGCCTGTAGCCCTCCCATCATACCCTCCCCCAGGACCACTACCCCATGGCCAGCGAGGGGTCCGGCCAGCGCAGGCTCGGGATCTCAGCTCAGATAAGACGTGGCAATGCCTTGGGTCTGAGGTGCCCCCGCCTGCCTTCCTGCCCGCCCCACCTGCCTCATGTCGTGTGGGCCTTTTTTGTTTCTTTCATTGTTTTTTTAATTATTTTAAATGAGGTTTTCATTTTTTAAATGCAATATCTCTGTACAGACTGGCTGGGCCCACCCCCGTGGCCCTCCCAAAGTATTTTGTGCAATGAAGCCCTGCTCCCAGCCTTCCCAAGGCAGCAACACAGCCCCTGTCAGAACCCTGACCACCCCCAGAGCCTGGGATTGGCTAAGGGCAAGCATGCCTCGACTACTCGCCTTCCTACACACACACACACACACACACGCACACACACACGCACACGCACACACCCTCCCCGCCTGCCATCCCAGGCTGCAGGAGTACCTGAGGACTACTGGACACTCTGGGAGATGGACAAGTGGGGGTCCCAGTCTTTCCCTCCTGCAGTTCCACAGTTGGGGCCTCCTTCCGTCTCAGGGTCTCCCCAGCCTAGCCCTCTGCCCCCATCCCACTCGGTGCTGTTGAGTAGGGGCCCTGCCAGGAACTGACCAGCTCAGCGAGGAGCCATATGTGTCTGTGTGCACAGGCAGGGACGGGCATGCGGGAGGGGGCGGGTGATGCCCGGGGAGGGGGAGGCAGGGCAGGGTCAGTCTCTGGGGTCAGTCCCAGATGGGTGGTTACCTCCCCTTCCTCCACTCTAAACCCTGGGGCCTTCAAATGGGGTGGGAGGGCAGGGTGGGGGCCCTCCTAGTGGGGTTTGGGAGGTTGGGTTCCTGAATGCACCATAATCGCTGTATGAAACATTAAAAAGTCTGAAGTGAAAAATGTGATTGCAAATCCCTGTAGAGGCGAAGGTGGACTTGCGCACGGTGAGTACTAGGACTTGGGCAAGTTCATACCTGGTGCCCGCTGTCTAGGAGAGCACTGGGAGCGGGTCAGGGACAGGCCATGGCCATAAAACGGGCATCTGAGGGGTTGCACACACAACAGGGGAACTCTGAACGGAAGCAGGTCAGGCAGGCTGAACAGGATGGGCTGAGAGGAGTTAAGTTTACCCAAGAATATGAGGAAGCCAGACAGGGTGGGTACAGGAAGGTGCAGAGGCTGTTTGAAAGACATCTGGAAGGCCCAATAAAACCAGGAGGCGGAGAGGCCCAGTATGAACATCATGTGTGTGACCTGGACACCATGAGGCAAGCCAGTTGGAGAGATTTTTAGACCACTGAGGAGGTAGGGGAATCTTAAAACACTTGGATTAAAAATTGGGAGTGGGGTCATCAAATACCGTGTTTTCCCAAAAATAAGACATCCTCTGAAAATAAGACCTAGCGCAACTTTGGGAGAAAAAATTATAAGACACTGTTATTTTCGGGGAAGCAGGGTAGCTCTGGGAGTTTGGATTATTGGTATCTGGGAAGTAATGGGAACCCCAGTGAGACATGGGTGACATGATCCTGAAAGGAAGCACATCCTGGAACTTGGACTAATCGAGGCTTGGCTCCAGTCCCACCATTTGTCAGCACCTGGGTGATGCCTCAGCCTGCAGCCTTATGGCTCCACAATGGCTGCCGGCCCCCAAAGACGGGAAAGCGGGCAGAGAAAAACAGCTCCCTCCCTGCCTGTTTTCCTTGTAACAGGTCTGTAACTTCCACAAGTTCCAACACAGATTCTGTGCCACCCCTTGGCTAGAATAAAATATGGCAGCAAAGGAAAATGAGGATCTTGGAAGGGGGCAGGGGCGGGATTGCCAGGCCAAACTTAAGAGTTCACAACTGTGGGAAGCGGTAGGGTCATTGTGGGCAGAGGCGGGCCTCTGGAAGGCAGAGAGCCCCAGCCCGGGTCTGGGGAGAGGCCTCTTGGACAAGCACCCAGGTAAAGGGAGGGGGGGTCTGCAGAGGGGCAATGAAAGCCAATTCAGAGACGAGATGCAGCTGGGCTTGAAGGGCAGTGTGCCAACAGTTGTGACCCCCCCCCTCACTTGTGCCAGGTGTGGGCGGAGGGCTAGAATCCCTATAATAAAGATAACCCCTGAGGTTATCAGAGGTTAACGGGACATAAAAAATTATGAGATTGTGCCTGGGGGGGGGGTGCAGAGAAGAGGGTACTCTGGGCACACCAGGGACCTGTGTGCATGAGCGTGGAGATGTGGATAGGCACGCTGTGTTACTGCCTGTGGGGATGGGTGGTGAAGTGAAGGAAGTCACTGGGACAGACCCAGAACCACGAGCCTGATTGGGGCAGTTTGATCACTGGGGGACAGCCATAGAAAGGTAGATGCAGGGCGCCAGAGGGACCCACATACACCTGAAACGAACAAAATACTGTGAGCTGTAATTGGAAGGTGGGAGTTACCACCACCACGTAGGGCCAAGAGTCCTGGCAGAGGAAAGGATGGCACAGCCCAGTGCAGTGGTTCTGAACTGGAGAGAAGCCTGCCCTGCCCCCAGGGCACGTTTGGCACGATCTGGAGACACTTGGTGTCCCAGCTGGGGAGTGCGACCGGTATTTATAGCGGCTAGGGGCCAGGGAGGCAGGATACATCCTGCAGTGTTTTCCGCAACGGAGAAAGGCCACCAGTGCCTAGACTGAGAAGACCTAGACTACTGCAGCGGCTGTCAAACTTGGTCTTGGGATCCTTTTATAAAAAGCTGACAGCCAGAAAGCTTCTTTTCGTTCTTACGTCACGTAACCTCACATGCAAGAGAGAATGACGGTGAACCGTTTTGACTGTGAACTCCCCGAGGGTCTTCTGAGCCCTGGAAGGCCTAATTTGCGAGACATTCCTGGTCCTCCGCCTGCCCCGCCAGGTGATGTTATCTGCTGCCTAAATACCTGCAATAAAGCAAGACCGTTATCAGTTATTGCTGTGACTACTACAGATACACAGGGCCTGGGGCTGACCTGCCTTCCACAGATTTGTCTAGAAACTAGTTCCGGCGGGGAAGTGGCCCGCCGGCCCCGGTGGCGCTCTGGGGGTGGTGACTGGTTTGTGTTGGGTGTGGAGGGACCAGAGAGCAGTGCACTGAAGGAAGGGCAGTTGGTCGTGCTCAGCAAAACATCGCTCCCAGGCAAGGACCCGCGGTCCCCCGCAGAGCACGGACCAGGGAAGACCTGCAACCTGTGTGCCTTTGGGCACTCCCCAGTATACCCCCCCATCCACCCGGGAGACCCCAGCCTCCACTTCCCAAACGACCGCTTGCCTGGACTCATGGCCTTAGAACCCCACCAAATACCTGTGTCTTTTCCCAAAAGCTCCATGTGGAGGTTTCACCCTGCCCATTCACTGGCCACCGCAGACAGCCCCGCCCCCGTCCAACGCCGCCGAACCCTTGCACGCGCCACTCCGCGGGGTCAGACCCTCCGCAGAACGGGGGGCTCCCTTTCCGTTTCCGGGATCAGAATCCGGAAGTGGCAGTTGGGGGGGCCGCTTCCAATCTCCCAATGCCGAGGCGGAGGAGAGGACGAAAGGCGATGGCGTCGGTCGGAGGGAACCGGTCGCCCGGGGCCAAAGGCGGACAGCCCCAGCGCAGAAGGATGCCGCGCCAGGCCAGGCAGTGGTGCCAGATCGAGAGTTGCGAGAGTGGGCGGGGGCGTCCGCTGCGGGACGGCGAGAGCTGGTGAGGCTGAGCTGCCAGCCTGGCTGCGGGCACCGGGGGAGTGCTGGCTGCGGCGGGGGATGGCGCGGAGGGCCCCGGAGCGGGGGCGGGGGACAGCTGCGCGCCGGAGAGTGCGCTCGGGCGGGGAAGTGCTTGTGAATGGACCCACTGGTCTGGGAAAGGGGCGGGGCCCGCGGCGGAGCTCCTGCCTGAGAACCGGGCGCGATTGGCTGCGCGGGGACGGAGGGCAAGGCCTGAGAAGCCGCGGCCGCGGAGGAGGGCCCGGGCCTGCGCAATGGCGCCGGGAGCCTGGGAAGGGGGCGGTCTCCATGGGGAGGCGGGCTTTGTGACGTCACGTGGCCCTGGGGGAGGGGCGGTCCCGAAGGCCCCGCGAGGGGAGGCGATGACGTCAATCGGAAGAGCGCAAGCCAAGCCCCTCGGGGCGGGGGCGGGGAGCGAGGCTGGTGACGCAGGGGGCGGGGCCTGAGGCGGGGGCGGGGCCTGAGGCGGTGCTAGGCCGCGGCAGAAAATGGCGGCCGCAGCTGAGCGCGGGCTGTGACGCGGTGAGGTTCTTGCCTCTGGCGGAAGCCTGCCCGGACACGGACCAGAGAAAGTGCAGGTGATTGGCGCGGGAGGGGCCTTCCATGTTGCATCTGCTTTCGGTTTCAGCACTGTTGTGTGTGTGTCATCGGGGAAAAAAGGGTATTTTGTAAAACATGTCAATGAACATCTCCATACAGCGCCTTGTTTCATTGCATTGATCACCCGTGTTTGCAGTGCACTGTTTCTGGGCTCGTTTTGTGGGTGTGTTTTGTTTTTTTTTTCCTCGCAGAGTTGCATCTCATTTATTAAATCCTGAGCCAGCTACGTCAGCCGTGAACAGGTTGCATGAAACGTTTATTCTATAAAAATTAACGGTCCGTGCAATGCAAACATCTCAAGGTCGTGCAAGACAAAAGATGAAGAACTATTCAAGATTGAAGGAATTCAGGGGGTATTTAACGGATTATAATGGCAGATGCCATGTGTGATCATGGGTTGGATCCTGGAGCAGAAAAAAATTAAAAAATCAGGCTATTTCCTCATAAAATTAATCCTCTCTCTTTTACTGTAAAAGATGCTCATGGGAAAACGGGCGGAATTTGAGTAGTTCTGCAGATCACATATTACTACTGTTAGTTTTTTGCTTTCAATAATTATGTGGATATGTAAGAGAACATTTAACATTCTCTTTCATATCCACAATAGTTATTTAAAATAATTATGTGGGTATGAAATATTTAGGGGTCCCATCCTGTAAGCAACTTACTCTCAAATAGTTGAAAAATATGTTATATTCAAATGCACTGAAACAGTGATTGAGCAAATGAATAAACTTAAATCTGGGGTCTCGGGATGAAATTTGGGGTCTCAGGATGAATGGCGTATGGGAAGTCTTTGTATTGTGTCTGCAGTTATTTGGAGCATTTCAAAATAAAAAATAAAAACCGTGAACAATAAAACGACATTTGTAACGCATCACGCAGGTTCAGATTAGACTTTTGCCTGAAAGACTCCTGTGCACCCCGCAGATGCAAACCCCCCTCTCTGCGCCACAGGAAACGATCTGTTACTCTGAATCCTTCATCTCACGTGTCCCCACCACTACATGCATCCACAGTGTCTGTGGTCCAGGCTCTCCTTTTGTGGCAGCTCCATGTGAAATCACATTGGATGCATTCCGTGTGCCTCCCCGGGCGGTACATGGACTGCACATGACGTCATGGGTGACGTCGTCCTGATCACTTGGGGAGGGTGCTATCTGCCCGCTTTCTCCATCGCAGAGGTACCATTTCCCCCTCCCATACACAGCAGTTCTTTTAACAGCCTCATCTCTGCCCCTCCGTTACTCAGCATCTCAACAGCTCCCGCCTCCTGCATGGAGCGCTGACATCCTCACGGGGGCTTGCAGGGCGCTCTGATTTCTCCCTCTCTCCGGTACCCACCCCCTCCCCTCCCCTCTCCCTCCCACTCCCCCTCTGCACCCGGCCATATTGGACTCTCGCTGTTGTTCCTGGAACGCAGAGCGGGCGCTCAGGTTCCAGCGGGCTCTCCTTCGAGGGCCTCTGCAGGGAGCTTGGCGGTCTCCCCGGGATCTTGAATCACAGCGCTGGTAAGGTTCTCTATCCCTCTCACTGGGGAGACGAAGTCGAGATCCCCTAAATGGGGAATGGGGAACAGCATTTTTTAAAAGCCATCACGCTGCAGCTTTTCAGCGAGGAAAAACCTGAGAATGAACCGCAATAACGGGACCATTTTGGGTAGCCGTTTGGGGGTGTCGGGGGTTGCTTTTGGGGGGGGGGATGCTGGAAATATCTTGGAACCAGATAGAGGTTGTGGTTGTATGAATTGCTGTATTGTCCGTTTTTTAAATGGTTAATTATGTGAATTTTAAAATGAATGATCTGTTAAAAAAAAAATGTACCCCACCAGGGTGGGGGGTAATGGGGAGATAAGGACACATGCAATACCTTAATCAGTAAAGAAATTTTAAAGAATTACCCCACCGATGTTGGTTCAGTATTAAAGCCAATTTATCTCTGCTTGTGGATACTATGAAGCGGTTTTTGTTGGGTTTTTTTTTTTTTCGTTTTTTTTTTCTCGTTTTTTTTGTTTGTTTCTTAACTGCGTTTTTTTAATGCTTTACCTCCTTAGGTAAGAGCAAAGCAGCTCAGTTCTTTTTCTAGAGGTTTGCTGCAGTGGTCGGGAAATTGCTGTTTAGAAAGCAATTTGAACGCGCGGACTAACCCCTGCATCATACACCTCACGTCACTACTATTAGCCGTACTTTCTGGGCTTTTGCCAGCTGGCGGATGTGAGCAAGAGCAATTAATTTGGCCGTCTGCACGGACTGCCTTTCTAAGAGACACTTACGTTCCAGAGTACATTCAAAGCTCTGGCGCACACAGCCTCTTGGACAAATGCAGTTTCTATGGCTCATCCTCTTCATGAGGGAGGATGAGCCACCTACGAGCCTAATGAAATTGGGGCCGGGGAGGGGGTCTGTGCAGAGTGTGGCTCCTTTCCTGGCAGGTAAGCGAGCGCGGGGCTCTTTGTTCAGGTAAAGGAGGGAGGGTGCTGGACTTGGTGGTCCAGCAGAGAGAGTGATGTGTGAAGACACAGCATCTAAGGACCAGCTAAAACTGCTGGTTATTCTGTCCATGGCGAAAGCCGCACAGCTGAGGGGAATCATGCATTTGATGAAGACCCCAAAGAGCTAAGGTGACTGCAGATTTCCCAGGTTTGGTTTGCCAGCCGCTGCCATAGCTCTCACCCAAGGCAGGCTATGCCTTGGCGGCTGGATCTGATCCTTTGGTAATTAAGTGCTTGGTCAGACTTTTCCTGAACCAAAAGGGAAAGGGGATTTGTGGATCTAGAATCCTGGAAGGGGGGGAATCTTGCTGGACAGTCATTCACTCTACCAGTCTTTGTCGCTTGAGCATGAATATGCTTTTTAGCGTCAAAGTACGCAGTTGTTGGGAAAGATTTATGTTAGCATATCTACTTATATCTAAGCGTCATGAACCTAGGGAGATAAACTTTTTGTTTTGTCCTTTTTAAAATATTAAGTCTGAAAAATGAAAGAGCTTTTCTAAAAAATATAAATTAATCAAAATTTTGGAGAATTTTAGATAAACCTAATTCTGCCTATTGTCATTCCTTTTACAGAGTGAAAGGAGCAAATCTTTGTTATCTCTCAGAGATCTTGAGGCAAAAAAGGCCATTTAGCAGTGTCTTTATTCTCCATTTGGAGCCTGAATTTGAGAACAAGAATAGTTGTTAGAAAAGACAAGCTATAAGTTGAAGTAAAGACAAAATATATATAGTAAACTTTGTAAAAACGGTGATAAACAGCAAAGATCATTAAGAGCTTAACTTATATTTCAAGCAAGGAATCGATTTTAAAAATGAGTTATGGTATTTTTTTAGTGAGCTGAGGGGTATATCAGAAAACACCAAGAGTTAATAATTTGGTAACAAAAAAGGGATTTCTAATCTGCGCATAAATGAATGTCATTTTACAGAAAAATGCCTAAATTCTCATTTTCCTCCTTTGGTACATTCATGTAACAATTTACAGGAAAAGATTTATTTGTATGTCTTTATATTTGTATTTGGGCTTGTGCAGATGTGTGAATAATCAATTCAGAACAATGTAACATTACATTTGCCATCTGAACAAGTTAATGGTGTCTCTTTATACCCATATTTCTATTTCTCGTGATTATTGTACCTAGCATATTAACAAATTAAAATAGATTATTATCTTAACCAAAATAACCAATTTTATTTTGTCTAGACACAAGAGAAAACTGGAAGACAGAGAACCTATTTCCCTAAGCACATATTTCATAGCATTTTAACAGATTTGAAGAAGCACAAGTAAACATAAGTGACTTCAGCAAGATCAGTTGTATCTCTGTATATTAGCCAGAACAAATTAGAAAATTAAATTTTAAAGGAGGGCATTAACAGTAGCAAAAATAAAAATCCAATACCTAGAAGTACAATAGATCTAACAATGTGGGTCCTTTTTAAGTGTCTTTGAATTCAAGAAAGATAGCAGTCATCTGTGTAAAACTTAAGTCTTCTTTGAAGCCTTTAGACATTCGGGGTGTAGCCAGGTCTGGTGGTTTTGCTTACCTCTATAAAGAGTGGCTTCAATGTTAATTTTCCTTAAAAATCTGCTTTAAAAAAAAAAAAAGTTGAATACTGCCTCCTTTTGTATTGAAAGTCCCATTAACAATAAGTTCACTTAGCTGAATAAATGAAGCTGCAGACTGTCAATAGAGGCAATGAAAGCCATAGGGGAAGGGAGGTAGGACCAGTGACGGGAGGGATGTTTGTGGCAGGGCCTGGGTGGGGAGGGTGCGTGTGTGTGTCTTGGTGAGGAATTAAGTGAAGGGTTTGGGGGGAGGGGACTCACAGAAATGGCTGCCTATTCAGGCAGCCACTTGTGACTACCCCAGGATTTTTTCTCCTCCATCCCCCACCTCGCTAATCCTTTTATAAACTAAACAAAGGGAAGAGGCCATTTTAAAGAATCCCCTTTAGAGGGTTAAACTGCTGGAAAACTAACCAGTATGTAGTATATCTTTCTCATCAGTTTTATCATTTCTTTAAAAGTGTGTGTTTGAGGCTGTCAGGAATACCATCGCTGAGCAGGTTTGGGGGACAGGGTTGTGTGTGTGTGTACATGAGCTTGTATGTTGAAGCCTGGGACTGAACAATAGCAGTTAACATTTATTTCACACTCACTGTATGTCAGCTATTTTTCAGACTGGAAATTTCTCAAGACATTTAACAAAGGCAGATGCCATCAGCCCTGTTTAGCCCAGTGGTCGGCAAACTCATTCCACAGAGCCAAATATCAACAGGACAACGATTGAACTTTCTTTGGAGCCACATTTTTAAAATTTCAACTTCTTTTAACGCCACTTCTTCAACATAGACTCGCCCAGGCCGTGGTATTTTGTGGAAGAGCCACCCTCAAGGGGCCAGAGAGCCGCAGGTGGCTCTTGAGCCGCAGATTGCTGACCTCTGGTTTAATCTGACAGTCCTTATAAAAGTTCTTTCTGTAAAAGAGCTAATGGAGCTGTATGCTTAACTGTATTATAAAGCCAAAAGAAATCCTAAATCCGAAAATGGTGAGAAATGCTGATATGTGGTCTGAAGAAAACTTTATGATTCTTTTAATCATTTAATTTTTTTTGTTTGTTTCTGAGCAGATTTTCCGAGTTTACTAATCCATTTATTGGCTGAAGATTTTTGCCCCCATTTTTGGCTTGTTACAAACACTGCCCAATTAACGAAGGGCTAAAGCCTAATTATATTAGCTGCAAATAATTTAACTGTTTTTTGAGCCTAACTTAACTGTGTTACACCTCAGACTAACACATTATTGTTTATTCTATAATAAAATCTCATGTGGGTGTGGGGTTGTCCCCTTTTTTTGAGCACATCTTCTTTTATGAATCAAATTTCTTCTAGTGCCCTAAGAAGTTAGGTAATCTCACCCTGGCTGGGTTGTTCATTGGTTAGAGCCGTGGTTGGCAAACTGGCGGCTCTTTGGCCCCTTGAGTGTGGCTCTTCCACAAAATACCACAGCCTGGGCGAGTCTATGTTGAAGAAGTGGCGTTAGTAGAAGTTGAAGTTTAAAAAATGTGGCTCTCCAAAGAAATTTCAATCCTTATACTGTTGGTACTTGGCTCTGTTGACTAGAGTTTGCCGACCACTGGGTTAGAGCATCCCAAAAGGCTAAGGTTTCCGGGTCTATCCCTGGTCAAGGTACATACAAGACTCAGTCAATGTAACATTGTGTTCGTTTCAGGGGTACATGGGACTTGTCGCCTTGGTTTAGATGTGTTGGCACTTTTAGTTCAGTAACCTTGGGAAGTGGTCAAACTTGACCCCCAGACAGCCATGTCACACCCTGTCGCTTCTCTGCTCCAGGTTCCTCGTGGATCGGAGCTGGTACAAGCGGTGGGAGGTGTACGTCCAGGTGGAAGAGGAAGACCCCAGCATCATCCCTGGCTGCATCAACAATGACCAGCTCTTCGAAGGTACCGGCCTCTGCCTCCCCTCAGCCTCGCCCTGGATTCTTTTCCCTTCCGTGGTAGGCTACTGGCGACATGGCCAGATGGCTCACCACTCTCCTTCCCTGGTTCTTCCTCTGCCACCTCCCTCTGCCCCCTCCCCCCACAGACACTGTAAACTGGCACCTCAAGAAGGGACTGGTGGAAGGCGAAGACTATGTGCTGCTTCCCACCACTGCCTGGAACCACCTGGTCAGCTGGTATGGCCTAGAGCGTGGCCAGCCGCCCATTGAGCGCAAGGTACAGTGAGGGAGGGCGCCGGGAGGGAGACTGGAGGGAGGAAGGGGGTAGAAGGAAGGCCTCATGGGCCCAAGATGGGTCCAGATCCATGTGTGTACGTGTGTCTCCACATGTACCATATAGATACACCTGTGCCCACACTCCTCTCCCCTCCCGTGATCCAGGTATCTGGTGTGTCCCCTGTGTGTTGGCCTGTGGGCCTCTGACCGGAGAGGTCTGTGTGTGTGCTGTGTGGGTACACTGTGTGCTCTTCCTCCCTGCCAGGTCGTGGATTTCCGTGGCAGCTGTGAGGTCGAAGTGTACCCAGTAGAACTACTGCTTGCCCAGCACAGTGATATGGACACAGCTCACAGCGCTCAATTCAGCCAGACAGACTCCCTGGGTGAGTCTGAGGGCCATGAGTGAGCGGGGCCTCCCAGCCCCGTAGGTCATAGTCCAGTGACCTAACAATGCGTGAGGCTCTGCTGTGGCAGGCACAGAGGGCACTGGGCAGAGCTCACAGGACTGCTGGGCAGGAAGGGCAGGAGCCTTGAGGGGTCCCGAGGTTTGTCAGCTGCTTCTCGGCGGTGACGCGGAAGTGGTGAGGATATCTGCTGTGTCGCAAGTCCTGAGTATGGGTCAGCCTCTGGAGGTTAACTGGGAGCAAGGTCATGGCCAGGGTCTGTGGGGAGGAGGTGGGGGCTGGGCCCAAGAGGGGTTGGTTATTCAGGATCCCAGGGTGACCTCGAATGTGTCCCTTCTCTCTGTACAGACCGAGTTTTGCGAACCGCTCAAGACCAGTTCGTGGTGAGCCCCCAAGAAGAGACACGGCTTTGGATAAAAAACGCAGAGGGCTCCTTTGAGAGGCTGTGTAACACACGTGTCACCTTGCGCGACACTAACGTCGAGTCTGGGCAGGTAAGGGTGGGGAGGGCCTGGTGCTCCCCAGCAGGGCTCAGACTGGGAGGTGAGGGCCAGGTGCCCATCAGCCTTTCCCATCTCTCACTCTTCCTCCAACCAGGTGGTTGTCATGGAGACCCGAAGCAAGGATGGCACCTGGCCCAGCCAACAGACACGCGTCGCGTAAGCCCTTGGGGTGTCTGGTCCAGCGTGGGTCCCGCAGTGGGCAGAACCATGGAGCCCCCGAGCACATTCGCCTACACATAGTAGGCCCTCAGCTGACAGTTTCTCCCCCACCACAGGAGCAACGGGCCGAAGGAGGAGGAGGAACTCCAGGGCCAGCCGGGCATCTGCGGTCTCACCAACCTGGGCAACACGTGCTTCATGAACTCAGCGCTGCAGGTGGGCCGTCAGGGCTGTGACAGGCACAGCCGCAGGGCTGGGCTTCAGCAGTGCAGACTGAGGACAGGGTCTTCGGGGCAAGGGGACACAAGTCTGACCTCACATGTTCACGTTCCTTCCTGAAACATCAATAGCTTCTCTTGCACTCGCTCCCTGCTTTCCTCCTTCTCCCTCTTGTCACTGCGTTCTCCCTTCTCCTGAAGCACTGTCATCTTCTCTCCCCTACTCCTGAACCTTTTCTTCTCCCATCCATCCCTCTGCCCCCTCTCTCTTCTCCCCTTCCTTCTTACTTCCTTTGCTCGGTTCCTACCTTGGTCACCTCTCTCTCCTCTTTTCCACCTCATCCCCCTGGCCCTGCCCCTGCAGTGCCTGAGCAATGTGCCCCAGCTCACCGAGTACTTCCTCAAGAACCGCTACCTGGAGGAGCTCAACTTCTGCAACCCGCTGGGCATGAAGGGTGAGATTGCCGAGGCCTACGCGGACCTGGTGAAGCAGGCTTGGTCCGGCCACCACCGCAACATCGTGCCCAATGTATTCAAGGTGCGCCTCCACCCTGGGCTACCCCTCCCCCCTCCACACACACACACACACACACACACACACACACACATACACGTGTACACACGCAGTCACATATACACTGAGTGGCCAGATTATTATGATCTCTGAATGCGTAATCATCTGGCCATTCTGTGTGTGTGTGTGTGTGTGTGTGTGTGTGTGTGTGTGTGTATTAGAGGCCTGATGCACAAATTCGTGAATGGGTGGGGTCCGGCCAGCCTGGCCAGTGGGAGGGGACATGGGCGGTTGGCCGGCATGCCTGCTGGTCGAACTCCTGGTCGAGGGGACAATTTGCATATTAGCCTTTTATTCTATAGGACAGACAGGGAGTGGCCCGATTGTTATGCGTACAGAGATGATAGTTGGCCACTCAGTACACACACACACACACACACACACACACACACCTATACACACTTCCCTTGGCTCCTAACTAACATCTTGCACTGCTGGCCTGTCCATCTTCTCAGACCAAGGTGGGTCACTTCGCCTCCCAGTTTCTTGGCTACCAACAACATGACTCCCAGGAGCTGCTGTCATTCCTGCTTGACGGGCTGCATGAGGACCTCAATCGCGTGAAGAAAAAAGAATACGTGGAGCAGTGTGATGCTGCTGGACGGCCTGACCAAGTAGGTGCTCCTAAGGCCCCCCGTCCTGAAAGCCCCATTAAAGCCACTAAGGCCTCTCCCTCGGGGCTTTCCTTAAGATGTCCTACATCCCAGCCCCAACTCAGACCTCAGTCCCACCTTTGGTTGCAACACCATATCTGCCCTCGTACCCCACTCAAAGTTAACCCTCACCAATCCGCTGTACAAAACAGACCCCAGCCCTGACAGCAACGGCTCCAGGCAGCCTGGCCCCTGCCGTACACCTACCTGAACTTTACCAGGGGCCCTAACCTTAGTTTGAACCCCATGCATGTCCACCCCAAGCCATGGCTCCCCTACCCCGAGTGACTCCACCCCCCCCCCCCCGTGGTGCCGTCAACAGGAAGTGGCCGTGGAGGCCTGGCAGAACCACAAGCGGCGGAACGATTCTGTGATTGTGGACACTTTCCACGGACTCTTCAAGTCCACGCTGGTGTGCCCCGATTGTGGCAACGTGTCCGTGACCTTTGACCCCTTCTGCTACCTCAGTGTCCCCCTGCCTGTGAGCCACAAGCGGGTCATGGAGGTCTTCTTTGTCTCCATGGACCCCCGCCGCAAGCCAGAACAGGTATGGGGACATGAGCACATAATGAGGGGGGTGTGGTCAGCTGGTCTGATGACCCCACCCTGCCTCAGGCTCCTGCACTAACTCCCCGGGTGCTCCCCTGCCCCTGTGGTCACTTTCTCCCACAGCACCGCCTCGTGGTCCCCAAGAAAGGCAAGATCTCCGATCTGTGCATGGCCCTGGCCAAGCACACTGGGGTCTCGCCAGAAAGGGTGAGTGAGGCTCTGGGTGGGGGCAGGGCGGGTGGGACTCGGGGACAGGGAGGTCGGAGGGCCTGTGCAGGAAGGCCTCACAGACTGACCAGCCCCTCGCGGCCTCTTGTTCGCAGATGATGGTAGCTGACGTGTTCAGCCACCGCTTCTACAAGATTTTCCAACTAGACGAGTCTTTGAGCACCATCTTGGACCGGGACGATATTTTCATGTGAGTGAGGGGCCCGGGGAGACTGGGGCTCCTCAGCGATACCTTTAGCTTAGTCACCTTCCCTCTTCCCTCCTTGTCCAATTGACAGGCAGCTGCCCTGCACCAGGCTTTGGCCACGTGCCTCACTGGGGTAGTGGCTTGGGGCCAGCAGTGGGATGGGGGACAGATCCTAATACAGTCCATCTTCTTCCTTGCTATGTGAGGTGTTCCTGGTTCTTCTTCATTTTATTAGCACTCATTGAGCACCTCCGGTGTACCACTGACCTCACTTCTTTCTCATACCACAGTCCTCAAACACGCTAGATGCTTTCTGAACCTGAGAACATTCCAAACATTGAAACCCTCTGGTAGCTAAAATAGAAAGTGGTTCATGAGTACCAAGCAGTGTTTTCCAAAAAGAAAATGGTTTTATATACATTTTATTGATTTCAGAGAGGAAGGGAGAGAGAGATAGGAACATCCATGATGAGAATCATGGATCAGCTGCCTCCTGCACACCCCCTACTGGGGATTGAGCCCACAACCCAGGCATGTGCCCTTGACCGGAATCGAACCTGGGACCCTTCAGTCTGCAGGCTGACGCTCTATCCACTGAGCCAAACCGGCCAGGGCAAGAAAATGGTTTTAAATTCCTTCACAATAAAAGTTTTTGTTCACTCCCTCAGTGCTTTGGTAGCGCCAAAGTACTTTTGAAACATCCCACAATATACCATTCCAATCACCGAACCGTTTGCAAAGCGCACAACACTGGGACACAAAATCAGTGGGGAAAAGAGCAGGTGAGGACTTAATCCTCAGCAGGTGAGGGTTAAAAAAATAAAGCTATTTTCAGACTGTGAGGGGTGAGTGAGTGAGTGAGTGGAGCGCCTGGGTCTGAGGCCGAGCGTCCCTCGCGGGTGTCCTGATCGGGCCTGACCCGATGCCTCCCCCGCAGCTACGAGGTGTCAGGCAGGTCTTCTATCACGGAGAACACCAGGGAAGACGTCGTGATCCCCGTGTACCTGCGAGAAAGGACCCCTGCCCGTGACTACAACAACTCTTACTATGGCCTCATGCTCTTCGGACACCCGCTCCTGGTGTCCGTGCCCCGGGACCGCCTGTCCTGGGACGCCCTGTACCACATCCTGCTGTACCGCCTCTCGTGAGTTTGCCCTCAGGGCCCGGGGCTGGGGTCTCCATTGAAACCCCGTGTCCAGCTGCTTGGCCACCATCTCCCACCCGTGGCGACAAGCCAGCTCACACTTCATACAGCTAAACCTCTGGCTTGGCCACCGCGTCTCCTAGGAGCTAGGGATGCAGAGGTGAGGAAGATAGATAGGACACAGACAACTCCATCTTGTGCTCACTGTCTTCTGCTCGTCCAGGCTCACTCGCTTGTGTTTTCGCTGGTGGTTTGCACTAAGTCTACAATCCCGAGTGCTTACTGAGTAGCAGAGCACTGCGCTTGGCGGCTGGCTTACCAACTCCCTCATATTACACTCACACAGCCACTCCTCAGGCCTGCCCTGCCCGAAGCTGACAGCAGATCGGGTGTCTGCTTGCCAGGGGCTCATCCCACTTAGAGCCACACGCCTGCCCTGAGGCACACCAGGCCCTCCGTCGTTCAGTCCCGTCCACATGTGCTTCTGTGTCACCCGAGGCCTCTGGGCTCCTCGTTGACGCTGCTTGTGTGGGTGCCCATTGGGGCTGCCCAGCGCAGGCAGAGTGGGATCCCGGGCTCTGCCTTGCGCTCCTCCTGAGAGTCTCCTGCTCTTTTCCTAGCCGCTATGTGACCAGACCCAGCTCTGACGATGAGGATGATGGCGAAGACAAAGGTGAGGAAGGAGGCGAGAGGCTAGACAAGGATGAGTGTTTGTATAAGCGGTTCCATAGCCAGAGGAGGGTGAGGAGGAGGGAGTCAGGGTAAGCCTGACTCCCATAGAGTCCACCCGGATAGTCGCTCGCCCACTCGCTGCACACACACCTGTCTGACATCCTCCCCTATCCTAGCAGATATGGAGGGTGGTAAGAACATCCCCAAGTCCGGAAACATGGCTGGCGGCAGCTCCCAAGACCCTGGGCCGGATCAGGCTGGGCCCAGCTCTGGAGTCGCCAGTGGGAGCCGGGTCCCTGCGGCCAGCTCCCCTGGACCATCTAACTGGCCCCAGAGAGCGCGGCGCAAGCACCTGTTCACCCTGCAAACGGTGAACTCCAACGGGACCAGCGACCGCTCCAACTTCAACGAGGACACTCAAGGTTTGTCCTTCAGCTGCCATCCGGGGTGGGGGAGGGCAGCAGGAGGGGGTTTCCTTGGCAGCAGGGCCCACAATCTCCTCCTTTGCCCCCAGCCCAGCCCTATATCGCCATCGACTGGGACCCAGAGATGAAGAAGCGTTACTACGACGAGGTGGAAGCTGAGGTAACGAGGTCTGAGGAAGGGCGCGGGAGGCACTTGAAGCTTTGTCCCTTTGTCCCTCAACTCCTCACACATCCCCCCAAGACCCTCAAGCTGTGACCACAGCGGTCCTGTTCAGGGCCTCCATTCCTGTCTGATAAGGCCATGCTCTGAACCGCTCTTTTATCTGCCCACTCCCGCGGGCCACTCCCCACTGTAGGGCTACGTCAAGCATGACTGCGTGGGGTACGTGCTGAAGAAGGCTCCTGTGCGGCTCCAGGAGTGCATTGAGCTCTTCACCACCATGGAGACCCTGGAGAAGGAGAACCCTTGGTGAGGGACCAGGACCTCGAGGGCTCCCCCTCACTCAAACCCTCATGCCACTCTGGCCACCAACATCCCAACTGTAGTCCCGCCTTGGAGCCTTTGCCAGGGCTGTTCTTTCTCCCAAGAACGCCCTTCCTCCGGTTCTGGCCAGGACTCCTTCATTTTATCCAGGTTTCCTATCCAATGTCAGCTTCTCAGGTGTTCTCTACTACCCCGTCACTCTGTCTATGACCTCACAGTGCTCTTTATTCCTGGCTGGGCGTTACTCTCTCTGGCTCAGTAACAGCACTTGAGGTCACATCCTAGACCCCCTTTGGCGTCATTATTTGTCTTATCTGTTAGAGTAACCCCCCCTAAGGCTAAGACAGTGGTTATAATAGTGTGGGGTATGCAGTGGGTGCTCCGTAGATCCTTGCAGAATAAAGAAAACATGAAGAGAGGCCCCAAAAGATCAAGCCGGTCTCACAAAGGAGAGCATCTCCATGGAGCAGCAAGGGGACAGATATACAAAGTGGTGCCAAAGGATTGGGCAGTACAGTCAGGGAATGCCTCGTGAGCGAATGAAATAAAGAGAAAGCCAGGGCCAGAGCCCTAACACAAATACACACCCATAATGAAGCATATATTTGTCAGGTCATTGGTGAGCCCTGAATGACACGTGAAGAGCACACTAGATTAACCAGCAGGCTAAAAATAAGATCAGCACCTCTGGCCTGGACAGGGCCCATGAGGGCCAGCTGCTACGGAGCATGCGCAGAAGGTGTCAGTGCTGACTCGGACTCTGTCTGCAGGTACTGCCCCAACTGCAAGCAACACCAGCTGGCCACCAAGAAGCTGGACCTGTGGACACTGCCTGAGACTCTCATCATACACCTGAAGCGCTTCTCCTACACCAAGTTCTCCCGAGAGAAGCTGGACACCCTTGTGGAGTTCCCTATTCGGTCCGTAGCCCAGGGAGGCTGGCTGGGGGGACAGCGCTTGGGGTGTGGGGACAGGCAGGCTAGTATTAACCTTCCCCTCACCCACAGGGACCTGGACTTCTCCGAGTTTGTCATCAAGCCGCAGGACGAGTCGGCCCCAGAGCTGTACAAATATGATCTTATTGCTGTGTCCAACCATTACGGCGGCCTGCGTGATGGACACTGTAGGTGGCAGGGGTGTGCCCTGGGTGGGAGGTGGGTCATGATGTCCCCGCGGGGTGACTAGATGTGTGAGCCAATGGTGGGGTCGTCAGGGTGGGAGGAGAATAGAGCGAACCCGGACACCTCTTGGGGGCCAGGGGTGGTGACAGTCCTCCCTCTCTTCCAGACACAACATTCGCCTGCAACAAGGACAGTGGGCAGTGGCACTACTTTGATGACAACAGCGTCTCGCCTGTGACGGAGAATCAGATTGAGGTGGGACTTCTGTCCTCCCTTCTCCCCTCCTCCCGCCCCTCCCTCCACCCTGACCCACACTGACGCTGTGCTCTCCCTGCAGTCCAAGGCAGCCTACGTCCTCTTCTATCAACGCCAGGATGTGGCGCGTCGTCTGCGAACCAAGCCCCAGCCTGGCCAATCTGACCCGCCAGCACCTGCCTGTGACCCCCTTCCTGAGTCCATGGATATAAACTGAACCACCTCGGCCTACGGCAGGAAAGGAAGCTCTCTCTGCTCTCTTCCTTCCCCCTCCGCTCCTGTCCTCCTCACCGTGTAGGTGCCCCGTGCAGGCATCGCAGGCTTAGTGTGGCTACTGTTCTCTCGTGCCGCCGTATCGCTCTTTCCGGGGGGGAAGAGGTTGTGTGTCCTCCCAGCAGTGTGTCCCTGCCTGTGCTTGCCCCTTAGAGCATTAGCCTTCCCATCGCTCCTGTATTTATGGTGGTTCCCTCTCCTGTGTCGTTCCTCTAGGCGTGTACGGAAGGGGGGTGGTGGCACACCTCAGCACAGAGTGTATTTTCTTATTGAGACCCTGTACTTCGCGCTGTGTACATATAAAGTGCCCGTGTGTCCCTCGGCACTGTGGGGTTGGGTTTTTTGTTCACGTGCTCACCACCCACCTGTGCTTCTGTGCTTATTGAATGCCAGGTGTTCAATAAGCACAGAAGCACAGGTGCGTGCTGCCCAGGTGCTCACTGAGTGCCAACCTGTGCCAGGTGCTACTCTTAAGAGCTATCGAAGCACCATCTGCACACCACACACAATTCCCAGCGCCAAGTGGCTGTGTTTTCCAGAGCATTTTACATGTATTAACTCAGTCCCCACAGCAGGCGAGAGTTGTCATTTCCGGTTTCAGATGGGGAAACAGGTACAGAGATCAAGCAGTTGCTGAAGTTCTGTGGGGAGGTTAGCACACCTCATCGGTTACACTGGGGTTGGTCTCTGCAGGGGCCGTTTGACCACTGGGCCCGGGTGGGAATCTTTCTGGATATGACCTGCGCTACAGCTGATGGGGAAGGTGCGCCTGGAGCAGACAGGCACCCACGTGGGCAGATGTGTGATTTCTGGGCATAAAGATACTATCCAGACCACCCCGCCAGCCTCCCATAGTGTCCTCAGAACTGGAAGTGGTACCCCTGGCCCATACCAGCCAACCTGATGGGATAAAGTGTGTTTGTGTTGCCCCTGTAGTTAGCCACCATCCCACCATGACCCCAGCTCCCCCACCAGGCAGGGTCCCTCCAGGTGTCTTCAAACTACGGCCCGCGGGCCACATGCAGCCCGCAGAGGAGTCTGATCCGGCCCGCCAGGTTTTTTGGGCAGTGAGCGCAGCCGAGGTGTTACAGTAGGAATTAGTAGTTCATATAGTCCGGCCCTCCAGCTCTCTGAGGGACCGTGATCTGGCCCCCACTTTAAAAAGTTTGAGGACCCCTGCGTCCAGCCTCATCCCAGAGAAGACGGAGTTAATCTATCGTAGACGGCGCTCACAGGTTCTCTGTAGTAGGAGCTTAAGAGGCCGTGAAAGCAGACTCCCACCTGACCCCTCTTGGTGCCGCCCCGCAGGAATGGCTGCTGTGGGCACAGCTGTGGGATGGGGTGGAGTGGACAGGGACCTCATCCTTCACACTGAGGGAGGGAACCAGCAGTTGAGGGAGCATTAACAGCTCTGAGACCTCCCCGGGGGTCACTCCGCCCCACATGACCCAACCGCCCAGTCACGCAGTTGGCAGGCAAAACAAAGGAGTTCAAAGTGACTTGTAACAAACCCTAGTGTCAGGTCTGACTGAATTCAGGAACTCAAAAGCTGTCCCTGAAACAGGTAGGCTGCATGAGTGAAGCACTATTGCCCCATTTCACAGATGAGAAAGCAGGCATAAAGAGTTGGTTCAAATGGGCTGTAAGGACAAAGACCTCAGCCTGTGGATAATTCCTGCTGGACAAAGCCCTCCTAAAGGGAAGTCATTTAAAGCTTTTCCCCTGATTTAACCGAAGGCATTGTAAAAAGACAACATGCATAGGAATCGGGAGAAATAAAAGACAACTACATAGGGCTGCCTCATATAGTTCTCACACCGGTGTAAAGCTGTGTTATTCATCATAGAAATAATTATGAGCAAACACTTTAAACTTTGAAAAAAGGAAATGAGTTGAAAGAACCAAGTACCAGGGCATTATGCTGAGGAAAATAAGCCAGTCAGAGAAAGGCAAATACCCCATGATCTCACATATATGGAGTCCAATGAACAAATAGGTCCAGAGATATGGAAGAGACTGACAGGTCTGAGGGGAGCAAGAAGAGATTAACCAAGGAACATATATGCATAGCCCATGTATGCAGACAGTAGTGCAGTGAAGGCCTGAGGGGTGGGAGCTGGGCTTAGGGGAGCAAAGGGGAAGGGAAATTGGGGACATCTGTAGTACTCTCCGCAATAATAATTTAAAAAAGTAATAGGTCTGAGATAATAGCAAGATGTAAGAAGTCAATGGATAAGTTTAACAACACATTAGACATAGCTGAAGAAAGAATTGATGATTTGGCTATAGGTAAAAGTGCTGAGGAATATACCGGTAACACATCGACTTTCGAATCAGGAAGTCATGGTTCGATTCCAGGTCAGGTCACATGCCCAGATTGTGGGCTTGATCCCCAGTGTGGGGCGTGTAGGAGTCAGCCGATCAATGATTCTCATCACTAATGTTTCTCTCCCTCTCCCTTCTCTCTGAAATAAATATATTTTTAAAAAGATTTTCAGGTGGGCAAATATCGTTTGATAAATTAAGGATATCAGACTAAACACCAGAAAAGGTATAAATTTCAAACAAATTGAGGGGAGGAAACAGGTGAATAATCAATCCAGAAGCAGCCAGAAGACAGGAACATGGGACAAGGCGAGCCTACACAACCATTTGCCAATAAGGTCTGCTTTGGCCGCTCTGGGTCCAAGGGAGGCAGCTGGGAACCCAGTTACTGATTTGAGATCTTGAGATCTTGGCTGCCACCAAGACCATGACTGCCATGGTGCCAGGGCGAGGATGGTGTGAGGGCAAGTTAGAGTGCCACAAAATGTTCCCACTTGGAACACAGCCTTTTCTTTTGCTTTTTAAAGAGATTGATTTCAGGAAGGGAGAGGGAGAGAAGAACATCAATGATGAGAGTCATTGATTGGCTACCTCCTGCACACCCCGTTACTGGGGATTGAGCCTGCAAGCAACTGCAACTCCGGCATGTGCCCTGATCAGGAACCGAAATGTACCTCTTGGTTTACAGGTCTATGCTCAACCACTGAGCCACACTGGCCAGGCCACTTTAATAACTATTACTAAAAACTAGTGCTCTAAGGTCATAAAAACCAATCATGTGTATGGGACTTCAGAATTACAAAAGCCTTCCAGACACATTCTCCTTTGCCCTCTGTGATAACACTGCGGGCTGTGGTGTTGTCTAGGTTGCAGATGATGGGACTGCTGCTCAGGGGGTTAGGCATTTTGCCTTTGCCCAAGGTCATGCAGCAAATAAGTGGTATCGTGCAGCCAAGTCTTCTCCCTAAAGCCCCACTCTATTTTTAAATATATATATTTTATTGATTTTTTACAGAGAGGAAGGGAGAGGGATAGAGAGTTAGAAACATCAGTGTGAGAGAAACATCAATCAGCTGCCTCCTGCACACCTTCTACCGGGGATGTGCCTGCAACCAAGGTACATGCCCTTGACCAGAATCAACCTGAGACCTTTCAGTACACAGGCCAATGCTCTATCCACTGAGCCACCCTGGTTAGGGCAAGCCCCACTCTTTCTACTACTACATTTCTTCTAAAATGTGCCAAAAATTAATTTTATTTGTTTAAAGCAAAGGTACTTTTCAGTTCTAATGCAGTGGTTGGCAAACCTCAGCTTGCGAGCCACATGTGGCTCTTTGGCCCCTTGAGTGTGTCTCTTCCACAAAATACCATGTCCTGGGCGAGTCTATTTTGAAAAAGTGGCATAGGAAGAAGTTTAAAAAATATGGCTCTCAAAAGAAATTTCAATCGTACTGTTGATATTTGGCTCTGTTGACTAATGAGTTTCCTGACCGCTGTCCTAATGCATTAGATCATGTGTAAGCTTTTCTTTAAAAAACAAAAAACAAAAAAAATCAAGGAAATGTATTCCTATAATTTGAAGGAGTGAGGCATGTTGGTAGGATCAACTCTAGAGATCAGTTGACAATTGATTATTATAGATCATCTCATTCCTTAGCCTCGCCTCTTTGCACCCCGCCACAGTGGGATTAATGCTGTCCCAGTATGTGGAGGGTTTTTCTTTTTCTTTTTCTTTTTCTTAAAAAAAAAAAATTATATATATATATATATATATATATATATATATATATATATATATGTGTGTGTGTGTGTGTGTGTGTGTGTGTGTGTGTGTGTATATTCCAGAGAGGAAGGGAGAGAGAGAAAAACATCAATGATGAGAGAGAATCACTGGTTGGCTGCCTCCTGCACACCCCATACTGGGGATTGAGCCCGCAACCCAGGCCTGTGCCCTTGACTGGAATCGAACCTGGGACCCTTTAGTCCGTAGGCCAACGCTCTATCCACTGAGCCAAACCAGCTAAGGCTGTGGAGGCTTTTTCATCATAGGATGAACACAGGGAGGATGCCAGGTTCATGGGGAATGCTACTTTCTGAGTTGTTCCGATGTTTGAATGTAATTGGTTAAAAGAGAGAGAGAGAGAGAGAGAGAGAGAGAGAGAGAGAGAGAGAGAGAGAGAGAGAGAGAGAGAGAGAGAGAAAGTGGTTTAACAAAACTGGCTTTCTGTAGGAATTTCCCTCCTCCTGCAAATATCATTCATGGTAGTTCTTTTATAACCCAGAATGGAAAAAAGGTGGTTATTTGGTTGCCCAAGTGGAGACTGAGCATCACCTACTTTGGCATCTACAAGGTAGCTCCATGTCTCCATCCCTATCCATGGCATGTCCTGATGACTCCTGCAATAGAATGGCTCAGAGATGACTTCATTTTCACAGGACACAGATATAAGGGAAGCTTCAGATTGTGCTGTTGTGTAATTTTTATTTTTAAAATATATTTTATTGATTTTTTACAAAGAGAAAGTGAGAGGGAGAGTTAGAAATATCGATGAGAGATTGATCAGCTGCCTCTGCACACCCCCTACTAGGGATGTGCCCACAACCTAGGTACATGCCCTTGATCGAAATCGAACCTGGGATCCTTCAGCTGCAGGCTGACCCCCCCATCCACTGAGCCAGACCAGTCAGGGCTGTTGTGTAATTTTTACATGAAGGTAAAGTTTTATTTATAAGAAACCAAGTTAAAGAAGAGTTTTTTGGTAGTTTTAAAAAAAGTTTATAATAATCATAGTTCAATGCTTACATCTTTTCTGATGTTAAAACTCAGCAGAGCCCTAGCCGGTTTGGCTCAGTGGACAGAGCATCAGCTTGTGGACTGAAGGGTCCCCGGTTCGATTCTGGTCAAGGGCACATGCCCGGGTTGCAGGCAGATCCCCAGTAGGGGGTGTGCAGGAGGCAGCCGATCCATGATTCTCATCATTGATGTTTCTCTCACTCCTC